CGGGGAGCCGGCCGAGGACTCCGGGGCGGGGCCGAGCGTGTGGCGGGGAGGTTCCTCCTTGCCTGCCCATGTCACCCCCGTGCAGTGACCCCGGAGAACGGGGGGTGACCGCTTCTAGCTGCGCGTGCCCTTCCCCGTATCTGCTGCCACTGTGGCCCTGACAGGCGGCTACAGGTGTGACCGAACTACAAAGTCGTAGTAGGAAAAAGCCTGAAGTTTTAAATGATGTCTGCAATCCCCTTCACTGTGATAAAACCTGCCCTGAAGGTCTATTTGAGGTGGAGCCGCTGTGCCAGAATCCCTATCAGGGGCCCGTGTCACGAGGAATATGTAGGGACCTTCTGCCAGAGTCTCTGCCCGGAGATCCTGTTAGGGCAACAGTAATATTTGGTTCAGTTAGCTTCTTTGCTTCAGCTTTCAGTCACGGTGGCAGCAAGCGTTCCTTCACAGCCTGAAAAGTGGAGAAATAAAGTTGAGCCTGGAAGTTTTCAGGCTTTTGAAGAAGATTGGCAGGGGGAGGGAGGGGGTGAAAAATGTCAATTTTGAAATTTTGGTCCTGCTTGTTGGCTTAGGGTAGGTTCTTTAAGATGGATTGGGAGGCTCTCCTCCTTGTTTGTCATCAGTTTGGAGACCTTTCAATTAGGAGTGCACTGATAAAGATTTTTTGGGCCCATACTGATGGGCGATTGTTGACCAGCCCTATTGGCCGATACTAGAAGTGCACTGTTAGAGATTTTGGGAGCTGATACCAATAGCGGGGTTTTGGTTTTTTTATAAGAAGGCATATCAGCCAATACTAATCCGATTTCTGATACAGCTGTGTCCAGCTGGTAAGTCTGTTGTGGTGGAAGGGGAGTGGCGCTGGGGCAGGGTGCAGAACAGAGCTGTGGCTTGGGGGGGGAAGAGGAGGCAGCTCCTGTTGCTGCGTGTGCACCCCAGCAGGGCATGGGGGAGAGGTATGTACCCTGGATCTGTGTAGGGCAGGGCGGGGCCAGGCTTCACTCAGGGTGGGCAGCAATGGCACTGGGAGAGGGACTGTGAGATTCATACATTCATAGATGTTAGGGTCCGAAGGGACCTCAATAGATCATCGAGTCCGACCCCCTGCATAGGCAGGAAACCCTGCATAAGCAGGAAAGTGTGCTGGGTTCAGATGCCCCCAGCCAGATGCCGATCTAACCTCCTCTTGAAGATACCTAGGGTAGGGGAGAGCACCACCTCCCTTGGGAGCCCATTCCAGATTTTGGCCACTCTAACTGAAGAAGTTCTTCCTAATGTCCAGTCTAAATCTGCTCTCTGTTAGCTTATGGCCATTGTTTCTTGTAACCCCCAGGGGCGCCTTGGTGAGTAGAGCTTCACCAATTCCCTTCTGTGCCCCCATGATGAATTTATAGGCAGCCACAAGGTTGCCTCCCAACCTTCTCTTGTAGAGGCTGAAAAGGTCGAGGTGCCCTCCTTGTAGGGCTTGGCCTGCAAGCCCTTAACCAGTGAGTGACCCTCCCAGCACCACAACCCACCCTGAGCACAGTCTAGCCCAGCCTCCC